TTTGGAGAGCTATTTATTACCTGCTTGTGAGTGTTCATCACTTCATTATATACTGTAATACACTTTTATCCCACTTAATACTCATGTAATAGAAACGAATGAAAGATCAATAAGTCATTACAATAGCTTTGAACACAAGTTTCCATTTGTTGAATACAGGAATACAGAGCCAGATATAAGAGGTTGATGTCAGCGCAGAGGCACTCATCATAGCTTAGCCTACAATACACTACACTCTCGCACACTCTTCCACACCACTGATAACACTGTTACACACAACCAAATGACAAATTATCGCATAATATCCGACAAATTATTTTATAATTTCTATTCAAATATTCATTTAGCTTCAAATCAATATTTTCTGGCAACAGAACAAACACTTCACTCATATATCAAATGCAATCAAAGTATTGTCCGCTAAAACAGATGTCATCTCAACGACACAACCATTGCTTAACAACTTATTCTCAACAACTTATTCTGTGTGTAAGTCTTGAATCTATTGTTTCTAATACTTTCATCACTTTTTATATACCATTTTCTTTATTTATTTTAGTTCCATTAAAATAACTTAATTATTTTTAATTGTATTAAATTCAATTTTTTAAAAGCAATCATAAATTGAAGCAATTCTTAAAATGGTTTTCATTATTATAATAAAAATATATATAAATAGAAAAGAATGCCGGTTTATTCAATAGATGTATTATATATCAAATAAAATCATACTCATGTATTCATGTCAATAATATTACAGAATAATTTTTGAGTAAACAACTTTGTAGACTCTACTAGATTTCTATTACTTTTCAGGCATATAAAGAAGTCAACAAAAATCCAATTTTATAACTTTTGTCTCATGTATTCATGTCAATAATATTACAGAATAATTTTTGAGTAAACAACTTTGTAGACTCTACTAGATTTCTATTACTTTTCAGGCATATAAAGAAGTCAACAAAAATCCAATTTTATAACTTTTGCCTTAATTTAAAGACATTCTCAGTTGACTTCCTTTAATAACTCATTTCTTATATAAATAAATAAATTTTAGTTTTAACATAAAAACTCACTATTTGGTAAAACAATGCATTTTTATTACTAATCGATATCATTTGAAATAATTTTATTGAATTTTTTAAATAAATATTTGTAAGTCTTATCATAGACTGTATTTTGAGTAAAAGTACTGAATTCGTGATCGTTTTCATCTTTCAGACACGTATTGAATAATAGGAATTTTGGGATAACCTGTGAATCCGATTGTATATCACTTATCACTTGTGTTGTCGTTTATATCCACTAAACTAAACAGACAAACATATGATATAATTGTGTTATCAAACAAATCACAAACCAAGTCATCTCTAATGTTGTAATCATTGGCGCATTTGAGGAGAAAATGAATTTGTCTGACAATACACTCAACTTATGGAATGGTTTCGATGTAAGTCTGCTTATAGTATGACATCTATTACTACAGAATATTCTATTGATTTAAACGTTGTAAAACTCAATTTTGTTTGCATTTTATAATAAACACAAAAGTGTTTTCTAGAAAGTATGCTAAGATAATATCATTAAATTTTTATACATAAGTATTTTACCCTATATGTAGAAATATATTGTATTTTATTATTTAAATTAATTTGAATAAATATAAATGTTATTCAGGTCCGGGAGGTTACACCATAGAGTAATTGAATTTTTATTCAAAAGGAATGTTAAGTCAAATACTCGACAAAATATAGCACACAGTAATATACAGTAATATACACTATTTTCTAAAGCAATGGCTCAAAAACTTAATCTTAATTGAATAAATACTGAATAAATTAAGCTTTCATTTAAATAAAAAATAATATAAGTTAGAATTGATATACTGTATGTTCAATATAAGGACTATAGAGTTGCAAACTATACAGTACAGTATGCAATAAGTATACAATAAAAACTTGTTAAGTAAAATGAAATTCTATTCTTAATAATTAATATAATTACAAATTCTTAATAAAGTTTAGAATATAAATATATTTTGAATATTCTGAATTAAATGATTACCACTTTATAATATGTAAGTCCAAGTTTACTGTAACATATTGTATATCGAGCCAAATGTGAATCAATATGAGAAGAGATTACTTTAAAGTGTGATTAATTATACTTGAAAATGTAAAAAGTATTTCCTTTAGATTAATAGGAATTGGTATGAAGTAAGCAATCAATTGGATTGGATTTGGTATTTGCATTGCTATGCATTCGCGTCGCTATACTTTGCCCTCTCGTCCATTACACTGATCTCAGTGTTAAGACTGCGGACGTCTTTTGCATCAAATCCTCACTTTTTATTTCTAAACATTTTTCTTCTAATATTTGGTATATCCAGAGCTCTATACCTATATATAGATCCATACGGATCGAAAAATGTAAGCATTTGTTGTCATTGTGTTTATATTTATCTAAAGCGATAACCAATTTCTCTCAAGCAGTTGTTTCCAATACTCGTGAGTAGAATCATATGGGATATAGGCTTTCCGTGCATTTGTTCCGTGTTAGCTCTCTTACAATTAGGTCTGTCTTTCCCTTGAATTCAACTTTATTTTCTATTTCCTCCGTTTATATTCAAATCAATTTTCAGGTTTTATTCACCAAATGAATGAAATCAAACTCAATTCATCGCTTATATCAAGCGAGTCTTGTGTTTTCATTACGATAACAATGCATTTCTGTTTTATCATTATTTCGGATTTACTTTTAGTGCTTCAAAATTCATTAAAAGTCAGTTCTTCTAGCATTCAATTTGAACAATACTTTTCAGTCTTTTTTATCATTTTTTTAGATGATTTACATATCTATTAATATTATATTCTCGGTTTGGATTGTCTTCATTTGTATGGCATTTCTGTTGAGATCTTTTCAAATACTAAAAACATTAGCGAATTTAAAGTCTACTGATTTGTCAAAAATTAAAACAAACACTAATGTAATGAAAACTAAATGTGATCTTCAAATGAAAACATTGAATACAAATCACTCGAAGCTTGAGACCAAATCTAATAGCAATTTGTCAAAAGAGGTTTTGGCAGAAGAAAAGCCTAGAATTAAAATAACCGATGAAAATGAGCTAACAGTGAGCTATGCCAGTGATAACACTCCTTCTCAGTGTAATGTCACTGATTCTGGCCGTAAGTACTCTTCCATT